AAAGAGGAGACAAGCGGAGACAGGGGGGACAGCAGGAGCAGCTGATGGAGCTGCTGCAGGTAAATCACTGGCTGAAAGATGAGCTGACTTAGTGACGTATTAACTGACCGAATCTCTAACCCACTTTGTGATTAACTGATGGACAAACCAGCGATCTTTTATATGATGTAACTATCCAGTGGAATGAATCTCTAGCCACTGGTATAATTTTACAAGAAGCTACGAAAATCATTTCCCAAATTTCAGCCTGTTTTAGCTGAAAATTATTCTTTCAAACTTTTCCAGAGTATGTGCAGGTCTTAGTCTTAAGATTATTTAATTCTGTTCCCTTAGATGTTGTTAAAAACTCTGAAACTGTGTGTAAAGGTCTTGTCTGCTGCAGTAGACAGTAACCTTAGTGATAACAGGTGGCTGTCATGAGACAGTTGCTATGACGTTCATCACTTCTTATCAAGCCCTGAGTTTTCTGTCAGCCTGGTCAACGTCGTCTCTCCGTCCTCAGGACGCCAAGCTGAAGATCGAGGCCATCCAGTGGATGCTGAACAATGCAGCCAAAGGTCACGACCTGCGCTCCAGCCGACAGCTGCTGAAGGTGAGCTCGCTGAGGCCCAGTGAGGCATACACCTATCCAGTCTAGTTAGGCTACATTTGTGAATGTGGAGCTGGACACTGATTGTGCTTTGACAGCCTGTTAGCGGTCAGTAACGGGTGTCTGTGTGTGTAGGAGCATCAGCAGCTGGAGCAGGAGGCCAAGGAGCTGGCAGAGAAGATCAACTCCATTGTCAGCAGGGCCAAACACCTGGCCTCCAACCACTTTGACTCTCGCAGGATCCTCCAGGAGACCGACACTTACCTTACTTTGTGAGTGACTCAGTTAGCTCTGCAGGGCTTAAAGGCAAACTGTTGATTTAAAGCAAGCCTTAAATTGTTACACGTAATAATGTGTCAACTTGTCCAGAGAGTGAATGTGATTTTCGAGCACAGGAACCATGGATGGTTGTATGATTGTATAAATGTCATTCAGATATGCTACAAGTTCTATAATTGTAAAACCTTGTAGAAAATAGGCTGCGTTCCCTGTAACAGGTTGAGTTAACATCTGTGTTTAGAACAGCTGTATTGTTCATCTGTGTCTAATTCTGGAGCTGTAAGGTTTTAGAAAACCAGTGCACAGTGTTGGTGTCTAAGGTGGAAACATTATTTACATTAATTACAGTTTGGGTTCACATTTGTGTGTGTATTTTTATCAACAGCTAAAATCTTTAGTTGATAAAGTGATGTGGTGGTGGCAGATTTTTAAAAAGCTAATGAAGTGATACTCTTCTTTTACACTAAGATTTCTAGATTTGACTTCCGATAAAATATGATTCAAATCTTCCATCTGCACCCATGAACAAAGTACAGTATAAATATCACCAATGAGCAAAACAGTCATTTCAAAAGGTCCTTTCTTTATTACTGTACAGTGTTTCTCATGCATTGACTTATTTGGGGCGCCACACAATCAGCAGTGATCACCGCATATTGATTTAAACTAGGTTAAATCTTATTTCACACACACAAACACATGACAGCCATGACGATGGGCTGTCTGTGAACAGTTCCACCTCCCGTGTTTGTGTTTTTAACACAACTCTGTCAGTGTGAAGAGTAAAAAGTCGTTGGGAACATCACTGACCGTAGACATACAGCAACAACCTGAACCACATGGTTTTGACATACTAAACTCTGCTGCAGGTTCAAGTCCCTCCAGAAGCCTCTGGACTGGCGTCGAGCTCAGCTGGTGGCATCTGTGCTGCTGTTTGAGTTTTATCATGATGTGGACCTGGAGCTCGGCTGGATCTCTGAACATGTTCCTGCCTATGGATCCACAGACTATGATAAGTCCCTGGCTGGAGCCATCAGCCTCATGCAGAAACATAAGGTACCAGCTGTGTTACAGTTCAAGCCAAGGAGTCTCTCATGTGTTCATCTAAATGCCTCAGGATGTGAACTGATGGCTGTAAAGATGAATATTCCAGGTTTAGCTCACACCAGGCTTGTATGTATTTATCTAGGAGCTGCAGGCCGAAGTGAAGGCCCATCGAAAACATTTGAACCACGTCCTGGAGAAGGGGCAGGGCTTGGCCAAATCCAGCAAATCAGATGGAGAGGAAGTGCTGCAGAGGTGCCATTCTTACTCTGTTTATCAGTAGTGGAAGAAGTACTCGGATCCTTTGAGCCAGAGCAGCATTACCACAGTTCAAAAGCTGTTGGAAGTAAAAGTCCTGTATTTAAAACAAAGTATTATCAACTAAAGGTACTTGTGAAGAAAATCAGCCCATGCAGTTATAATAATTAAATACTTAAATCATCAAAAACAAAAGTACTTCTCATGCAGAGCACCATTTTCAGGGTGTATTTCAACAGATGATATTTCTTTAATCTTCTGTGTTCTAGTTTGTTTTGTTCTGGGACAAGTTGCCGTACTTTATCATCCTTATTTGGTAAATTCTAGCAGAGCGTTGCACAACTCCAGCTTGAAAGGTTTAATGAGATATATGACTGAAATCACCTGTGTGGGTCTGCATGATCTGTAATAATCAATCAGATATTTATAGTTTTTATAAGTCAATCATTACCAGTAACAACAGCTCTCAAATACATGTAGTTAAGTAAAAAGTACCAGTGATTTCCTGCAGCAGACATCTGAGCTGGTGGCTTGGTTGATTTACACTTTGGCCAGGAGTTAATAAACTTAATAACACACAGACACACTCTCGAACACAGCAGTTCATTAGGCAGCACTTAGTCAGTTAATACATGACAAAAGAAATGTTCTAGAGGTTTCCTTGTGCAAGATAAAGTCGCACAAACACACCATCTGCTGTTTTGTTGCAGGTGCAATCATCTGATTGTAGAGTGGGACGAGCTGGTCGAGGCCTGCGACAGGAGAGCAGCTCACCTGAGCAAGGCCATCACCAGGGAGCAGGTGAGATAGGGATGTTGTTATCTCAAATACTAAATTCTGTGCAGCACAGTCAGTACTTTCTGTTCCTCGGCTGCTGTCAAAGTGCATTAAGAAAACAAAATCAGGTGGTGGCAGTGAAATTAGTGGTTCGGTTAATTACAAGTTTTTCTTTGCAATGTTGTGGTTTCCCCATTTTCCTCTAACATTATTTAAGATCCCCCCCTGTACAAAAAGCATTAGTTATGATACATACAGCAGCCAGACAGACAAAAAATAAGGTAACTTCAAACTTAATACTGACCGCACAATGTGCATTTTCCCTTGTGTAACAAAATACAAGCTGCAGAGAACTGGGAACCTGAATGATTTTGACATTTTAATTACCTCATGGGAGACTAGAACCGCCACCTTATTGTGGTGGAGGGGTTTAAAGTACCCGAGTGATCCTAGGAGCTGTGTTGTCGGGGGTTATATGCCCCTGGTAGGGTCTCCCAAGGCAAACAGGTTCAAAACCCCTTATGAAAAAATCAAAATCAAGGACCGTGACATCTCCTGGTATGGCGCAACCGGGGCCCCACCCTGGAGCCAGGCCCGGGGTTGGGGCTCGAATGCGAGCGCCTGGTGGCCGGGCCTTTTCCCACGGGGCCTGGCCGGGCTTAGCCCGAACGAGCAACGTGGGGACGCCCTCCCGTGGGCCCACCACCTGCAGGAGGATTCGTAAGGGGCTGGTGCACAGTGGATCAGGCAGCAGTCGAAGGCAGGGGCCCCAATGACCCGATCTCTAGACACGGAAACTAGCCCTGAGGACATGGAATGTCACCTCACCGAGCTTGTGCGGGAGGTTGAGAGGTACCGCCTGGAGACTCGCATTCCCTGGAGGAGCTGGAGGAAGTGTCTGGAGAGAGGGAAGTCTGGGCATCTTTGCTTAGACTGCTGGCCCCGCGACCCGGTCCCAGACAAGCGGAGGAAAAGGGATGGATGGATGGATGGATGGAAACTAGAGGGAGAAGATGTGTACCAGAGCACAGAGATTTATATAAAACAACTGGACACTTTTTCAGATACAGATGAATCTTACATGCATGTTGAATTAAGATTTAACAACCAAATCTGTGTCTTGGTCTGAATTTTGTCTTCATGCAATCCGTCACCAGCTGCTGTTGGACTTCTCAGAGCTGGAGTCCAGGCTAACGGAGACACTCAGTCTGGTGAACACTGATGACTACGGCAAAGACCAACTGGCCACACAGAGTCTCGTCACCAAACACCAGGTACAACATGCATGCTGAAAGGTCTGGACTTTACCTAAACCAGAGGGGACCCCAGCTTGCTCCCTGTGGAACTCCTCCTCAATCAAAATAAGATGCTTAGAATCGCTAGCATCCTTTGGTGACAGCTGAAATATTTAGAAATTATTTTCCAAAACATTTATTAACAAAACTTTATACTCGAAAGACAATTTAAAATGTAGAATATGAAAATGTAGGAGTGAAAATGAATGAAAAGAATCCTTGTTACTCATATATTATATTTTACTTTATTCATGTTTATATTATGTGATTTTGCCTTTTTACTTCGATTCTGATACCAAGATTCGGTATTTCTAGTCTCTGCTGTTTGTTTTGCGTTCTAGTTATTTGCACATCAACAAGAAAACATTGCACAGTAAATAAAAAACATTGTTAGAGCAGATTCTACTTTTTGCCTAAATGTGAAATATAGCAGCATGAATACTGGCGTTCCCTCATGGTTGTGCAGGTGTTGGAGGGCCAGCTAAAGGTGCTGGAGGTGGAGGTGGAGGAGCTGGGAGACCAGGTGGAGCAGGCGGCTCAGAGCTGGAGCCTGCAGGAGCTCAGAAGGCCCTACAGCCGTCTGAGCATCCTGAACCAGCAGCTGCAGCATCAGGCTGCTCTCAGGTAAATACACGGTCACACTGCTGTGTCTCTAGTTTCAACACCCGGTAACATCATTGGATCAAAAGCGGAATGTTGTAGAGTTGAACAGAGGAGGTAAAGGTCTAAGCTATGATTTTATTATCTTATGGAATATTTTAGCTTCTTTTAATGCTGTGGATAGTGTGGCTCCGTTTGATTGTGTGGTTGATGCTTCAGGAATATTTCCAGATTTTTTTTTCTTATAATGAAATGTCTTATAAATGGCAGCCCCACTGTACCTCATGTTGTTTTTTTATTTCAAGCAGTGATTAGATTTGTTTGTGAACAAATTCAATATCAATACCATCTAAAGATGTGAGTATAGACCCACTGTGCCATGTACACCTGTCACACCTATTACTCTGAATGCAGACGACATTACTTCTGTGACTTTCCTTAATTCTTATCATTGCATTTCTGCAAAATAAAATATATTTCATATATAATAGTCAATCATAGCTATCTTATATTTAATTTTTGTGATAAATTAACACATTAGGTCCAGAATATCAGGTACTGATGTCTTTAATTCTTATGTCGATATGTGTTGAGTCACAGATTCACGAGTCAGTGCCTGAGAATGCATGTGGGAAAAGAGGATGATTACTGTACTGGCTCTAACAGAATGAGTGGCAACTTACTATAGAGATTCTGTTGTCCAGAAGAGTGTTTAAGATGAGGAGCACATGTTGGGTTTGTTGCTATGCTGTCTGGGAGAATACGAGATAAACACAAGAGGTGGTGAAGAATCCAAGTCATCAAACACAAACAAGAGAAGGAGGAATGATGAACACCTGGACTGTGACCACGCTGTGTGTTAACTCAGGGCAGCGCTTGTCAGAGAACATCCAGCACTCTGCATGCTGACATGAATTACAACACAGAAGAAGAATTTCCATGATAGTTAACTAGAGTTCAGTCCCTTCTCATAAACCCTGATCTGGATCCCACACAGTGAAATGCTGTCTCTTAGTGTCCTGTCCTGCTCTTTCCTCACTGTTATAGGCCTTATTTTACATCCGTCTCTGCACCTGTGTGTGTCCATGTCCATGTGTCAGGGGTCAAAGATTAGGAGAAGTTCTCCATCTCCACGAGTTCATAAGAGAGTCCTTAGAGCTGGAAGACTGGATGAACCAGCAGAGACAGACTGCAGAGTCTCAGGACCTGGGCAACGACTACCAGCACGTTCAGGTAAAAATGTTTTCAACCGCGGCTGTGTTTAGACCGTTAACTGGCTAATGTGAGTACTGAGTATCTATATACAGTCTTATGCAAAAGTTTAGGCACCCCTTGATAAATAACAGATTTTGGTGATTTTTTTATTTGAACAGATGTTAACACAGTTTCTCTTGGAAATGGAAAAAATGCACAATATTTTCTGCAAACAGTGATGCATAGTTACTTCTTATGCCATAAATTGAACAAAAATAAAAAATAAAAACATTATTATGGCATGGTGCAAAAGTTTGGGCACCCTAAGAGTTCCAGAGTCTCAAAGTCTCTCACAAGGTATCAGACCTTAATCAGCTCGTTAGATCTGATGCACAGCAACAGCTGTCATTGGTAAATGCCAATTTCAAAGCTGTACAAATACTTTGACTCTTCAAACCTTGTGCACACACTTGTGGACACCCAGCAACCATGGGTTCCTCTAAGCAGCTGTGTAAGACCCTGAAAATGAAAGTTATTGACGCCCACAATGCAGGAGAAGGCTACAAGAAGATAGCAAAGCGTTGTCAGCTTGCAGTTTCCACAGTAAGAAATGTAATTAAGAGATGGCAGATCAGGGGAACTGTGGAGGTCAAGATGAGATCTGGAAGACCAAGAAAACTCTCGGACAGAACTGCTCGTATGCTGGTCAGAAAGACAAATCAAAACCCCCATTTGACTGCAAAAAACCTGCAGGAAGATTTAGCAGACTCAGGAGTGGTGGTGCACCGTTCCACTGTGCAGCGATGCTTGCACAGACAAGGCCTTCATGGAAGAGTCAGCAGAAGAAAACCTTATCTGCGTCCCCATCATAAAATCCAACGTCTGAAGTATGCAACAGGACATCTACAGAAGCCCGATGCGTTTTGGAAACAAGTGCTGTGGACTGATGAAGTTAAAATAGAACTCTTTGGACACAATCAGCAAAGGCATGTTTGGAGAAAAAAAGGAGCAGCATTTCATGAAAAGAACACCTTGCCAACTATTAAGCATGGGGGTGGATCTATCATGCTCTGGGGTTGTGTTGCAGCCAGTGGCACAGGAAACATTGCACGGGTGGAGGGAAGAATGGATTCCACTAAATACCAGCAAATTCTGGAAGCAAACATCACACCATCTGTAAAAAAGCTGAAGCTGAAAAGAGGATGGCTTCTACAGAGCAGGTGTTAAATCTCTGCAAGTGTCACAGCGATGAACTAGAGCTGCAACTGTTCATTTTCAGCACATAGCTTGTCATGATTCCAAAACAACTAAAGCAATGCACCGTTTGCTGTACTGAGGTAATGAGACTCTGAAATGCAAATCTCAAGATAATACCGTACTAGCATTTAACCTATAATCTCCAAATTAGGGACATATAGAAAGACAAATATCAACCACAGCTGTTCTCAGCCTCTGCAATCACCGTGCAGTTCATCTTTACAATACAAACTGTGTCTTCACCAATAATGGAGATCCTGTGTGTGTGGGTGATGTTTCAGTTGCTTCGTGGGAAGTTTGACGGCTTCCTGAAGCATCTGGAGGTCGGAGAGGAGAGACTGCAGAGCTGCAGCGATGTGGGTGCTCGACTGATCCGCAGCAAACACCCACAGAGCTCTGCAGTAAAAGACACATTGCAGCAGCTCAGGTACACACACAGGAGGCCAAGGACATACTGCAGTGAGTCGGTGGCTAACGCGGATGAATTTAGAAATGTTCTTTTACTTGTTGAAAGCGTTACAGCCACATCTTCAATCATTTTCTCAAGGTTCAGCATTCAAATTCAAATTCCAAAACAGTAAACAAACACTGGTGAACTGTTTGCACCAACATACTTTTGAAATAATGCATTAAAAAGGCTTTTTGTTGTTACTTTATGGTGAGGTGTGTAGAGAAGCGAGTAGTGTCAAACCTAACAGCCAGAAGGACACATGGAAGGGAGGAAGGAAGGACGCTGTCACAGAACTACAGCGGAAAGACAAGAGCGGGAGAAACAACTGACAGAAAAGGAAGAACATGGCTAGAGGCTGATGCAGCTGTACTCAGTCTGTGTCACATGTTGTCTTTATTTTTGTTTTGCTCCCATTTTGTTAATTCTGATATTGTTTGTCTGCAGTGCATGCTGGGAGGATTTGAAGGCCGTGGCTAGAGAGCGCCAGGATCAGCTGCAGAGAGCCGAGGAGTGTCACCGCTTTTACCAGGACCTGACCGATGCGCTGACACTCATCCAGGTATCCGTCTGTCCATCTGGCCATTCGCTGGATTTGTGTTGAAATTGAACCCTCAGTCTCTTTCTCTCTTTCCTCTGGTTCTCGGTAGGAGCGACAGAAGAGCATCCCTGATGATGTGGCGAAGGATATGCGAGGAGTTGTGTCACAGCTGAGGAAACACGAGGCTCTGCTCTATGAGCTCGCTGTCACAGAGCAACAGGTATAGACACTCAGAGGTTAATTGAAAAAATCAACTGGACTTAGATTTCTAGGTTGAGGTCGTTTCACCTCTCATCCAAGAGGCTTCATCAGTTCTGAGTTCTAAGTCCAGTTTTTTCAGACTCAGAGGTTAATGTTACTGTAATAAGGATATTAATGAACAACACTTTTAGTGAATCTCAGAAAGTCAGAACTGCTGAATGAAACTGATTTTTAATATAGTTATTAAGCGCTGTTGTTTTCTAGCCCTTTACAGAATTTGCCCATTCACCCCATACAGCCATTCACACACACACACTCTGATGGTCACTGGGAGCAACTTAGGGTTCTTGCCTAAAGACACTTGGACATGTGGACTGGAGACACCAGGGACGACCTGATCTGCCTCCTGAACCACAGCTTCTCCAACACAGTGATGGAACAACAGAATTTCCAGAAACTGTGGAGAAATTTTCAAAGATCAAATTCTAGAAGTTGGATTTTTGATACTGACTGGCTGAAACCTGGCAGGTCAAACAAAAACATTAGCTGGACTTTTCCTGTGAAGCTGAAAATGATCATCAGAACAGCTTCTTTATCTTGTAAGGATGCTGGTTTCTGATGTGTGTATGTTTTGTGTGTTTCAGCTACAGGAGCAGCTGGATGCTTTTGACTCAATCCTGGAACTCTGCACACCTCAGTTAAAGCTCTGCCTACAGGAAGTGCAACAGGAAGTGGTGGAGAGGTGGGAGGAGCTCCGGCATCACACGGAGCAGAGGGAGGAGGAGCTAAAACTGGCGTGCCAGCGATACCTGTTCCTTAACACGGTGAAGACAGATGATAGTTGAACATCATTAACAATCCCACCATGCCTCTCAGTCACTCATCGAAGTGTCTTTCTGCTCTTCAGGCGCAGGACTACTTCCTGTGGTGCAGCCAAATGATTGGTGCGATGGCCGCTGAGGAGAGCATCAGTGACGTGGCCACTGCTGACCTCCAGCTCACCCAGCACCAGCAGCTGTGGGCAGAGATGGAGGCGAGACAGGAGACCTACCAGCAGGCACTGGACATGGGCGAGGAGCTGCAGACTCGGGACAGGAGCAACTGGAAGGAGGTGAGGAGGACCAGTAATGTTTTTTATTTTTATTTTTATGAACTGCGGATGTGTTGGTTCAGTCTGGTGTATGAACATGTTTCCTCATGGTTCTTCCAGGTGTTGGAGAAGCTTGATGCGCTGCAGGCAGAACGAGACAAAGTGGAGGAGCAGTGGAACAAGAAACAAAGCTGGTTAGAAACAGTTCACCTGGAGCAGGTTTTCTACAGAGACGTTGACAGCTTGGACAAGACGTCCAGCTCACAGGAGGTGCGCTCTGGGTTTGTTCTCTAGGGGACCGTGAGAAATGAGATTCAGTCTCTCATCAGCAGTAAAACCTCTGCTGTGTGTCCACAGATCCTTTTACAGAACAGCACTCTGGGAAACACCGTTGATGAGACGGAGGGTTTAATCAAACGTCACGAAGCCTTTGAGAAGCTGCTCAGCTCGCAGGAGGAAAAGGTCTGCCCTGCTTCTGTACTGGGGTGTCGAGCTGCAGATAACTCACAGTTTCACATTTGTGGCAAATGTGCAGCTCTTTAAATCAAACAAACTAAATGACTAAGTTACTGAGGATAATTAGTAGAATTAAAGGCGTCCAAAATTCACACCTCTGGAAATTGGTTCACAAAAGGGATCAGGGTCCATCTGATGCAGGGGTGGCCAATTCCATTCCTCGAGGGCCACTGTCCTCTCAGAAGCTGGAATATACCAATTCACTTTGTCTTTCCTCACTCCACTTTCATCTAAGATGGTATTTTCCAGCTTCTGACTGGCTGAACACACCTGAGCCAGGTAATCAGCAGCAGGTCAGGCAGGGATAGTTGGAAAACAAGCAGGACAGCGGCCCTCGAGGACTGGAATTGGCCACCCCTGCATCAGATGTGTATGTAATGAGCTTTAGGTTGAACATTATATATTCCAATCACAGAGTAATTTGGACACAGTATTGGGTAAGTGGCAAAGTAATGTGCTTTTGAAGAGAGTATGTTGATGCTTTGATAGACTTTTGTCTGTGTTTTTCAACCTTGTTGACATTCTTTAGTGGGAACTTTGGTCTCTTTACTTTATATCATCTCGCAGTGCTCCTTCCCGCCTGGTGTAAAATGCTGCTGTATTCTGCTTTACTTAAACCTCCCTCTGTCTCTTCGGTCCAGCTGTCCTCTCTGAAGGAGCTGGCTGAGCGTCTGAAGGCACAGCTGAACAGAGACAAGAGTGGGCGGGTCCAAACCAAGCTCAAGGCCCTCCTCCAGAGACGTGGTCAGATCAAGGAGCTGTCGGTCAAACGCAGGAAGGAGCTGGAGCTTTCCAGGCTGTTGTGTGTCTTCAACCGAGATGTTGCACAGGTAACCAGCTGAACAATCAGATACCTTGGAGAGTTTTTGGAAGCTGGAACGTCCCTGAATGTTCTTATACAAAGAAGAGTCCAAGGATGTTTTTGGTTTTTATCTTTGAATGAATCAAATTTGACCAACATTGTCTCACATCAAATAATTTACTTCAGTTCTTTGCCATTCTGTTCTGAAACATTTTGTTTCTGTGTGTCAGGCAGAGGAGTGGGTGTCTGAGCGGATGCAGAAGATGGCAGAGGACAGTAAAGCTGACCTCAGTGACCTGCAAACCAAGATGAAGCTCCTCCAGAAACATCAGGTGTTTGAGGCTGAAATCCTGGCTCACAGTGAGATCATCAGAGCTGTACTGCAGGTAGGATGGGAAGAGACGAAGAAGCTGAGACATGGTTAGACTAGATGAAAAGGGATATCGTGAGATTAAATGAGATGATGAAATTTGATGAGTTCAAGTGAGATAAGGTTGAAGGTAATTGAAGCCCAGTAATGTTATGGAGATTAAATGAGCTCAGGACAGACGTGGCTTGATATGAGGAGGTGAGAGTGGGTGGCGTGAGATACTGAGCCCGCTACATAAGCAGGCATGGGGTCTTTTATCTCCCCCGTGCTGCTATGCATCGTTTTAAATTGTATAGAGTTTTTCCTATGAGTGGGAGTTTAAGAAACTAATAGCCATCCCTGGTAGGCTAGTGGTTAAGGCACAGCGCTCTCGCCGCTGCGGCCCGGGTTCAAATCAGGGTTGCGTCAGGAAGGGCATCCGGCGTAAAACATGTGCCAAATGTCAACATGCGAGTCGTCAGTATGACGATTCGCTGTGGCGACCCCTAAACGGGAAAAGCTGAAAGTGTTATCACTAATATGAGATTTGGTGAGATTAAATGAAGTGAGGAAAGTTAGGTGAGAGGAAAACATGAAGAAATTAAGAGAAATATTGGAAAATAAAAGCTGAAAGGTGATGAGGAACAAGATCGAATGTGAGGAGACAATGAGATGGGTTGAGACGTGCAGCAGTGTCTGCGTGTCTGGGCCAGACTTTGTCGTTGGCGTGGACCATGTCTAGGCCCAACATCCAACTTCCTGTCCACATGCAGAATTTCCACTCTAACCAAGCATTTAACCAGAAACCTGCCAGGATCTTTACTTGGCTGAAATATCTCAACCAGGACCATGTAGACTTCCATCTCCTTCTCTGCCTCCAGGCCGGTGAGAAGCTGGTCTCTCTTCACCACCCGAGGTCCAAGGAGGTGAAGAGGAGCTCAGGCACCCTGCAGCTCCACTGGGAGGAGCTGAAGAAGGCAGTGGCCACCAGAGGGAAAGCTCTGGAAGATAACAGAGACTTCCTGGAGTTCCTGCAAAAGGTGGAAGAGGTGGAGGCATGGATCAGACACAGGGTAGGAGACAGGCAAATTTGGGGGTGTGTGTGTGTGTGTGTGTGTGTGTGTGTGTGTGCGTGCGCTGTAATTACAGTGTGTATTCAGTGGGGAATGTCTGTGTTTCAGGAGGTGATGATCAATGTTGGAGATGTTGGAGAGGATTATGAACACGGAGTTCAGCTGCTGAAGAAGCTCGGCGAGTTCAGGGGAACTGGAGATGGGGTGAGGGCGCCCTGTGTTTGACTGTTGATTTTGGGGGGGAGATAGTTGTGAGGGATGCACAATGCCAGCCTCTCTGATGGGAAGCTATTAATGTGAAGCAGCAGCAGGAAGCATTTGGGTTTCTGCCAGCAGTAACTAGCACAGCTCTGACATGACCGAGATGGACCAGTAAGTGCTGACAGTGCTGGTTTTCCCTGATAAAATATAGGTTAATTAAAAAAATTGAAAGTTCAAACAGGAATGAAGCAGTGAAACTAAATTCCATATCAGTCACAACTTACACAAGGCCAGAGAGCTGAACAGAGACACTCTGGAAAACACGCATGTTGAGTCTTCAGTTTGAGGGTCAGACCACCCTAGGTCGGCTCTAGTCGGCCAAACAAGCTCTCCGATGAGGATGATGATGAAGGTCTGTTTAATGTGTAGGAAGTTACGGTGGATGAAGCTCACATCACAGCCATCAACAGACTGGCAGCCAGGCTGGAGAAGAGACAGAGCGCTGACGAGCTGGTGACTGTCAGGCAGAGGAGACAGCAGCTCAACGACAGGTGACACACACATTTCATCTCTTCGGCCTCCGTGGGCGGTTTGTTCTGAGTTTTACACCATCCTCTCATCTCTTCCAGGTGGAGCAAGTTTCATGGAGACCTGAATAAATATAGGAAGAAGCTGGAGGGGGCGCTGGTGGTGCATGCCCTCATCAGAGAGCTGGAAGAGGTCAGAGACAGAGCCAACGAGAAGGTCAGTCAGCTGCTTCTACCTGCAGATAACACAGAGCAGTGCTGTGCTGGAGTTCTCGTATTGTAACGACGTTCCTCCCCTCTCCCTGTAGATGCTGCTGCTGCAGGGCCAGGACTGTGGTAGTGACGTGGAGAGTGTAGAGAACCTGATCAGACGCCATGAGGAAACAGAGAGAGAAGCCGGGGTCATCCTGGAGAGGTTAAAGGTGAGGCAAGGAGCTCAGGCAAGGAACCAGCTCATTTCCACATTTCTGCACCCAAAATGAAGGCGTATCCTGAACAGATTTTCTTTGTCATTGTGGATCCAATGTCCACGTACTACAGGTGGGTTTCCCTTTACCACTGCGGATTGCAGAGAGCATGTTGTCACAGTGTCATGATAGTCTCTATGTGCACATCACCAGCGTTTAGAAATAAGGCATCTTGCTGGAAACTACTTTATAGCGGTGAAAGGTTTCTTGCTGCTGTACATTTTCCACTGATTACTCTGCACATTCATGCAGTGTCTGTTCTACATTTTGCAGTGAATCAGTTCTTAGAGGGATATGACAGGAGAATAAAACTGCATTCATTACTCACGGATAATAAAATACTTTGAGTGTGTGAGAGAGGGTGCACATCTGTGTGAGCGAATGACTTGGGCACAGGGGAAATAGTGTAAAGCACGTTGAGTCTGCTTCAGTCCGTAGAAAAGTGCTATATAAGTATAAGGTCATTTAGCATCCTAGTGTACGGTGTAGAGTGAAGCTACAGTGCCTATCGCCCCTCACCAGGCCCTGGAGAGGGAGGTGTCCGATCACCTGAAGGCTCGATCAGTGATGAGTGACAAACTGAAGAACAAACAGAAGGAGGTCCACAAAGCTCTGAAGACTCTGGACAAAGAGGTCAAACACAGGTGAAGGTCACAAGTTTTATTTTTAGCAGAAGAAGTAGTAGAGTTCAGTTAAATCTAGCTTGAATTAGTTAATTACTAATTAAAAATCAGCGTCTTCTCTTTCAAATCGTGATTTTGAGGAGAGAACACTAATTGTTCACCTCAACCAGACGGCTCACAAGTGTGTAAGTGAGCAGATGGACTCAAGCGTTGTTTATTTAGGAAGGAGAAGCTGCAGGAGGCTCACCAGCTGCAGCTGTTCAAAGCCAACCAGCGCCTCCTGTTGGAGTGGAGCATCAAACAGAGCAGTGAGATGGCAGAGAAAGGCCTTCCCAAGACCAGAGCCGAGGCCGACCGGCTCATCGTGGAGCATCAGGACTGGAAGGTGAGGGTCGTCCCCAGAGAACCAGCAGAGTGTGGTGTGAGTGTGGTGGAGTGCTCCTGTTAAAACTGTCCACCAGCCAGATGCAGCATTACACTGTGTATTGTTCCAGACAGAGATCGATGCCCGTGCCGAGCGCGACGACTCTGTTCGGGACTTTGGCCTGGGTCTAGTCCGGTCCGGTCACAGTGCGAAGGCAGAGATCCAGAAGGCTGTGACCCAGCTAGAGGAGGCCAAAGCCAGACTGGACCGAGCCTGGCTGGACCGCCACCAGACCCTGGAGCAGGCCCGCACCCTGCAGGTGGGGATCCACGACCAAGTAACATTCTGTATGAATCACAGTGCAGAGTATGTCATTATTTAGATGTGGTTATTTCTTATTCTCTTTTTATCTGAATATACCTCAACAATGTACAAATGATTCAGTCACTGTAACAAATAGAACCATGACTCTTCATGCTTTTATACACAATTAACACATTGATTGATAAATTATATAAAATAATATTAGCACATCAAAGGAAAGAGAAATTATAAAATTAAAGTGCACAATAAAAAATCTAACTAGAATGAGTAGAGCCAGAGTCTGGTGAGATTTATTTGATTATATAAAAGACAAAACATGGTGATTCACAGCAGACAAATCACAGATGTACAGGTGTAATATGTAGAAGATCTTTCCCATATTTTGCACCTTACTTGGAAGGTGTCAGCCTTGTCCTCAGGTAAAGATATTTAAGGCTCTAGCTAGCCACATAAGCTGACAGCCTTTGTGCATGCAGCATTTTAAATCCAAAATATGTATTTGGCACCAGAGTCAACATTTTCTGAATGCAGGACAAGTAGCTCTGCAGTTTAAATGGGATTTATCTGCAAAATAGTCTGAAAAGCCTTAATGATGGGCACTACCTGGATATATATGTAAGTGTTTGGTGTCTCCAGCAGGTGGAGGATTTCATGCGGTGACTTTTTTCACCAGGCGTAGTGAAGTTGTCCAGTAAAACTCTTCACACAGCCGAACCTGACATTTCCATTGTAGCTCCTGTAATTCTCCCTCTGGTTTGTTCACTTTTATAGGACCCAGTTCATGTAAATCAGGGCTTGTTAATGTGGACTGATTATTATGGCCATGGATTCTGAGCACAAATTCACTTTGCCTCTCACCAGGACACTGGTGCACAATAGCACAGGGCAAAGTAACCTGCTAGTTAGAAATGTAGGTGTAAGTGTTAGAAATGTCCACAGCATCACATCAAATGTTCAGCCACACAGCTGAGAAACTCTGCTCTAGCTCAGCGTGATGGTTTTTCTTTGTTCTCTGGTCTAACACAACCATCAGCCACAGCTTCAGTGCTAGGACGGGGTCACTCTTTCACGGCCTCCTCTCTTCGTCTTGCAGGTCTTCCTGGCCTCTGTGGAGCAGTGTGAGAGCTGGCTCAGCAACAAGGAGGCCTTCCTCTCCAACCACGACCTCGGGGTAAAGATAATCTTGTTTAGAAAATGTCCCGCTGTGCAGAGACGCTTTCAATTTGTCAAAAGTATCACAGATTTTCAAAACAGCTACGTTATATAAAAGAGAATATAGTTTTCAGTTGCTCAGCACAGAATCTTCCTCTGACTGATATCTTTGTGTTTTCAGAGCTCAGTGACGGAGGTGGAGACTCTGCAGAGGAAACAGACTCAGTTTGAGGAGGCTCTGGAGGCTCAGGTGGACCAGCTGGACCAGGTGGAGAAACTGGCCCAGAAGATGATCCAGCAGAAGCACTACGACTCCGACAACATCCGAGCCAAGAGCAGATCGCTCGCTGCCAGGTGAGAGGCAGCACTGAGAGCGAAACTCTTCTGACAGCTGATTTTTCAGGTGGCAATGTCTTCTGTTTTCTATTTACTGCTGGTAAAGCATCTGTGGACGTTGCCAGATGATTTCGAATGTTGAATGTACATAAATGTACACGTTTGGTGACTATTATTATTGTGTTATCCTGTTTTTTTTTTTGTGCTGCTGTAACACTTAAGTTTCTCTGAGAGGCATCGAGGACGTTGATCTCAGCCTCTTATCTAGAAATAAAGTTACATAGCTGGTACTTCTCATGTAGAAAAAATGCACAGGAATCAGTCAGTTTTGCTCAAACTACTGATTTGTGCTCAGGAATTAATGCAACACAGAGTTGAACAATATTGCTAACATTCAAACAACTGTTTAAGTTGATCAGGGACACATTTCAAAAGCACAATTGAGTTATTCCGTGTGCAGATGAGGCTCTGTAGAAAAGTGATTATACACCTGTCTGTGTGACGACCTGTGTGTCGGTAGGTGGAGTCAGCTGCAGCAGCAGAGCAGGTCTCGACACAAAGCCCTGGATCGATCACTGCAGCTGCAGCAGTTCTTGTCCAGTAGCTACCAGGTGATCTACTGAACTTTACTTGACTGTTATGAACTACTGTCAGGTGTGTGTTTTCTAGGTGTGAAAAGTAAATGTGTGTGTGTGTTTTCCAGGTGTGTGTGTGGCTGAATGAGCGTAATGCCGTGGCGTTGGATGAGAGCTGGAGGGAACCCACCAACCTTCAGGCCAAACTGCTGAAACATCAGAGCTTCGAGGCCGAGATCCTCGCGAACCGCTACAGAGTGGACACCCTCACCAAGGTCCATTGTTTGTGTGTGTGTACTTGTATGACTATATTTGTAAGGACCATTTTTGGTGTTATACTATGGGAGAGAGGACATTTTTGGAAAGTGAGGACATTTCTGCAGCACACTGCGAGGACACGCTGTCCAGTCCTCACACCCTCAGAGGGCTGTTTGAGGGTTCAGATTAGAATTGGATTTCAGTCAGGGTTGGGGGTAGGCAGGCACTGTGACGGTTAAGGTTATGGGAATGACGGTCCTCACAGAGATTGTCTTGTGACAGTGTAGTATGGTAAAATCCTCTCTTGTCTTGGGTCCCATGGCACTGTGTCAGATCTGTCCATGTTTTGTTCCTTCTGTAAAGCTCCCAAGCAGAAGCACACAACAGAAACACTGAGTTGTCATAATCCACAGCATAACTGCAGAATAAACAGTTTTTAATTAGCGTTTTCAGATGCGTATTGCATTTTTGTTCTATTAGTTTCAACACATTACTGTAACATTGTCATTCTTAATGTCGTACCATGTGCGGACCTGTTTTTCAGGAAGGGGAGAAGCTGCTCTCAGAGTCTGGCTCAGCTGAAGCAAAGGTTCAACTGCGACTCAGAGAGCTGACAGACAACTGGGACACTCTGGTCCACAACTGCAAGGAGAAGAAAGCCCGACTGCAGGAGGCCTACCAGGTACACACACATCTGCAGGTCACATGCACATCTTACCAGACATCATCAACATTTGTGGATCTGGTTTTCCCATCATCTGGTGACAGCTTTCTTTGTCCAGACCATATGATAGTTCATCTGGAACATGGCTAAAACTGAATCTTTCCATGTGTAGTTTGGCAAAATATGAATAAAAGAAAAGTGAAATATGGAGCCAAGTCTTCATTATGTTGGTTTTTTTGTGTGTGTGTTGTAAGGCGCTGCAGTTCCATCGCTCACTGGATGACATGGACCAGTGGGTGGGGTCAGTAGAGAGGGAACTGGCCAATGAGGACTGTGGCAGCGACCTGCCATCTGTCGGCAGGCTGCTGAAGTCTCTGCAGGGGCTGGAAGAGGAGGTGGATGGACACAGAGACAGAATCCAGGTGCGTGACATCTGAACAGTGGTGACCTGTTCAGTATCCTGTGCACTTTTCCCAAGTCCCTGATTTTCTATATTTTCTTTTGTTTAAAACTTGGAGACCATTTCTGTCCAGTCACTTGTTCATGGCCTGACCAGTGCGCTGCTGTAGTGATGTCAGCGCACGGCGAGTAGCAGTATACTGTATATATATATACTGCATGCCATATGTTTTTACCAGGGTCTGGTGGACACAGCAAAGACCTTCCAGTCTCAGGGAAACTTCCTGGCTGAGGAGATCCAGTCCAGAGTGGCACACACCATCAACAGGTCTGACAGTAATATATATGAGATAAATATTACTCTTTTTACTGCACTACATGTATTTGATAACTTCAACAATCATGATAATCACAAGACCCTGTTGGGAAATTCACAAGCTGCCTGGCAGAATGAGAAGTACTTTGAATTATAGTGCTTCAAAGGTAGCTAACATTATCACCTTGACCAGCTACAACATTAAAGTGATGACTTCAAGTACTTCAACATGTGTTGATGCTAATACTTTTGTACTTAAGTTAAAATTTGAATGAGGTCGTTTTACACTCGTCCACTTTTCATTAAGTAAATGATCTGAGTAGTACTTCCACTGCTGATATCAGGCATGCTAACGTCTACTCCATCAGGTACAACAGTCTGTCGGAGCCCCTGCAGCGCCGCAGGGAAGCCCTGGAGGCTTGGCAGCTTCTCTTCCAGTTCTCCAGAGACCTGGAGGAGGAGGCGGCCTGGCTGAGCGACAGACTGGCCTCCATCACTGCCAGAGACTGGGGCAGCTCCCTGAGCAGCACCCAGCAGCTGCTCCACAAACACCAGGTGACCACTGACGTTTAAAGACACTTGGCTCTGAATCCTTCATTTAAAGTTACCACAGATATAAACACCTGAATCCTCAGTTAAATTATATGTCATCTAAAAGGGACAATCCTCAGGTTGGAGAAGCCAGCGAAGCTTAAATGTTTGATGCTTTTTGTCCTGAAAACTGACCTGAAAGATTTTTATTAACCTCTGTTGATTGGCGTTAATTGACTCATGGTTTCAGGTTGATCCGTGGTTTCTGTTTAAACAGTTTATAATACTGTGTTTTAAGGAGTAACTTCACTTGTCCTGTGAGTCTATAACCAGTTTCATCTGGAGTTTTTAACGTTCGTCTTTCTTTAATGTCCTCTTTTTATCTTTAAGTTTCTTATTTTTAATATTCATTTGCATTTTCATCTAAGTTTTCAATGTGTCCATTTCTTTGCTGAATCTTCCTGTTTGTTTTGTGTAGCACACTGTACTGCATGTTTGTGTGTAAACCCAGCTAGATAAACTGAAGTGAAATATTACTGTTGTAGTAATTCTGCACATTGAAGGGACATATTTAAATTATACCTATATATTAAAAGATCATCTGCACAGAGTGAATGTTGAGTGAAAAGCAGCATAAAAGCTCAACAATCACTTCTGGTTCCTGTTTGTTTTTTTTTTAGGCTGTGATGCAGGAGATCTCAAGCCGTGGCCCATTGGTTCAGGCAGTTCAGGAGGCGGGGCATAGCCTGGTGAGGAACCAGTCACTCAGCATCTCTGGTGCCAGGCACTGTTAAAACTCTTTGGCATGTACTGTCAAGTATGTGGATGTTACAGTGTAAGGAGCTAAACAACAAAAGACACTGATCGTTTATTGCTACATTATATCGACTTTCTCAGGTCAGAGGTCGTCACTTTGCGTCTCATGACATCCGGGAGCGTCTGCAGGAGCTGAAGAGTCTCCACGAGGAGCTGATGACGGAGGCAGAGAAGAGGGGGAAACTCCTGCGGGAGGCACTCAGCATCCACACGTTCCTCACTGAGGTAACACTGTCCCTGTAACGGTCTGTACGGAAAAGGACCAGCACCTTTGTTCTAAATAAGTCCAAGTCATAGATTCAGTTCAGCTCTGTGATCTGATCAATTAGGTCTAAATGTCCTCTCACAATAGAAAAATAAAGGAAAAGAAATTACTACTACTTAAAGTAGACGTGACTTAGGCTTTGCCTTTAGGTTTAAGGTTGACAAGCATTATAAATAGACGGGGGTGTGCAGCGGATGTGTTGCTATTCAGTGTTAAAGCGCAGTTCCATAAAGGTGTGTGTGTGTGTGTGTGTCTGCTGAGGTGTCAGAGCTGGAGCTGTGGTTGGACGAGCAGCAGGCAGGTTTAGAGTCTCGGGACTGTGGGAGGAGTGAGGAGCTGACAGAGGCTCTGCTGAGGAGGCTGGACTCTGTGGACGTGGAGCTGGAGAACCAGAGGAGGACGGTGGAGAGGCTGCAGGAGAGCGGCGCGTCGCTGCAGCACCTGGGACACCCCGACAGGTGGAGAGGCACATGGCTGTCTGTGTAAACACCTGCAGCCAGTGGTAGTCCTCAGATTCAGCTTCTTTACCTGAGCAAATGCACCAATAGCACAGCTTCAGGGTCGATTATTAATACTGATGCAACAATGAATATGCAGCATTTTAATGTTGTAGCTGCTTGAGGTGGAGCAACTTTTAAGTATTTTATTTGTTGTTGGTTAGCTCAGTCCAGTGGTTGCCAACCTAGGTGTGAGGCCCCTCAAAAGAGTCTCAGGATAAATCTGAGGGGTCATGAGACAACTGATGAGAGAGGAAAGAAAAACAAAGCTCTTTATTTGGATGTTTATCTGATTTTTGATTTAAATGAAAACATCTGCGAAGTTTAGCAGAGGAGTTGCTCTTTAGAGGAGAATGCTAACTTATTTCTGTGTGGACCCCAACCAGACACCAGCTCATCACATGTCAGAATGGCTGGAAGCCACTGATTTAATCTTTAACTTTGTATTTATCAGCTTATCTTATGATCATAATGTAAAATATTACCAAATCTTAATGTTACAGTCTATATCTGAAAAGTAAGTTACAGCTAAAACTGTTAATGTGGTAATGAAAAGTCTGTTTCCCTGTGAAAAGTAGTTTAGTAGAAGTATAAAGTAGTGTAAAATGGAAATAGTACAACCTTAAAATTGTACTCAACAGTTATTCTTCACCATTACTTTTAGCTGGAAATGGGTATATTAATTTTTTAATGTATTACATTTAAATCTGGCCATATTTAGTTTGTGTATTTTTGAAAACCAGCATGTTGGTCTGACATATTATCAGCAGTCTGTCTGTCTGTGTCTCAGCCACCTGGTCAGGGACTCTCTCCTCGCTCTTCTCCAACACTTTGAGACTCTCTGCCGACGTTCTGCCTCTCGTCGAGCTGCTCTTGAAGATCAGCTCCGTCTCTATGTGTTTGAGAGCGAGGCCAAAGAACTACAAACATGGCTGGCCTCCAAGAAGACCACAGCAGAGTCCGAAGACTGCGGGCAGGATCTGGAGGATGTAGAGGTGAGAACACGAGAACAAGGTGAGGAGATCTGAAGTTTCCTGTGTTGATCTAAATGCAGTTTTCACTGCAGATGAGAAAACAACAAGGCAATTAGCAGCCTGTGTTACAGGTTTATATCATTAAAACACTATAGCCTTAGGAATTTGATTGGCAGAAATTAAATTGGCTAGAAAATGACGATCTTCTGTCTGTAGTCCAGTTGGCTGCAGAGTGTTTTACTGCTGGTGCAGGAGGTAAAACCAGGACTTTAGATTAAGTCTATAAATTAGACTGTGTAACAGTTTATTGTTGGATTTAGTTTCCATGACTTTAAATTTGTTATATTGCTGCTCTTTCCCAGTTTAGTATCCTCAGGTCTGCTCAGACTGGGTCCCTCTTTTTTTAAAATGAATTTATGCATGTCAGCTTTGGACACAGTGCCAGTTTGGACTGGATCCAATGGTTTGGACCCATGAATATGGAGAGAACATAGTCTCCGTAATGGTTCTTATTACTCTACACTTCTCATCTGTCCGTCTTTAGGTCCTTCAGAAGAAGCTGGAGGTTCTGGTGTCAGAGGTGTCCGGTCTTGGTCGGACCCGGCTGACCTCGGTGCAGCAGCTTGGCCGAGGGCTGCAGCAGGACGCTCAGGTCCGGAGGAGAGACGATGCTCTCAGCAGGCTGTGGGATGACCTCAACAGCAGCATCAGGACCAGAGAACAGGTAGGACGCTGTCGTGGTGCACGATGCAGGTTTGGTGGTGAAGGTCACAGTCGTATAACGGTCCTCGCCTAACAGTGTCTGCAGGCTGCGAGGGAGGTTCATCAGTTTAATCATGATGTGGATGAGCTGAAGGGCTGGATGGCTGAGAAGGAGGCTGTGCTGGACTCAGAAGACCATGACCACGACCTGCAGTCTATCCAGACACTGCTGAGACAACACAAGGCTCTGGAGGTAGGAGACACCCAGTGGGTCATAAAGGTTGAAAGGTGTAGGTGATGAATGACCATAAAGCATGCAGCCGGTGATTTTGTATGTTGGTTCTTTTGCGCAAATCCCGTCCAGAGACTAGAGCATTTTCAGAATATGTTTTAGGATAAAACTCACTCCATGCATGGAAAACACCAACTTCTGTAGCTTAAAGTGAAGTCTGAACAGTTGCTGATGTCTCCTGTCAGAAGGATCTGGTTCTGATCTCTGAGGAGGTGACCAGGAGCAGAGAGGAGGGCCAGGCCCTGAGCC